TGTGACTGTTAATTCAACATTAACATTTTATAAAAAAAAAAAAGAGCTCACCTTTCTGAAACAGCTAGTAACCTCTCTGGTCTAAAGGTACCTTCAGTGTCAATATACAAACACTTGCCCTCACCACCATTATGATCAATGGGCAACTAGAAAGCAAAGAATATATCGTAACACCTCCAATTTTTCAGGGCATATACCTTTTAACATATAATTATTTTAAAAAAAAAAAAAAAAAAATCAGTTTATGAAAGTTCTATTATATTTGTAGAATTTTATTTATATATACATTTCAGGAAACTTAAAGGCATCAAAAAGATTTGATACAATATTGTTGCGTATATGCTTGTTTGATAATTTCCAGTATAAATTCTTTCCGAGGAACATCAGCGATACAAGTCCTTTTTTGGTTAAACTAGTTTATTCTTCCTCGATACAAACTTTTAGCACACAGTAATTTCACAATCAATATGTTTCTCACCACTTTAAACTTAACTACTTTTATAATACATGCTATAAATCACAGTGATTCACAATCTCGATAACTTCGCACACTAGCTTGAAACAAAATCGTAAATTACCCGGAACTATCTTCATTCACTGCCGCAGGCTTTCTCCGCCAGGCTTATATACCAAAAAGAGGGCGTCTCGAACAAACTTGGGCCTCCCCGTTCATTCATGATCATTTGAGAAATTTTATGCATGCTACCAATGCCAAATGCGCTAGCAGCATCATGTGACTTCCGCTGTCGTAACAATATGAAAAGCAAATGCTGTAATTCCTAAATTATTGGATTAGTGAATACACTACCACTCTGTTCAGCATTCAGCTAGAAACCAATAAATATTTCAATTCTAGAGAATAAGAAGTTTCCTGAAGAATTAATTGGCCTTGCTTCAGAATCATGTTTGTAGGAGTATCATTAAGACCCAGGTCTGAGGGTTTCCAGGATTATTTTAGATTTTACATCCTGTTTTCAATCGGAGATCTTCCTTCATGTTGATGGCCATAATTTAACATAAGTGCTTCATCACTTGCAGTTCATCAAGAACTAAATTTTTTGAACACTGACAACTTTCCATGCATTAAATGTGCATTCCATTTGACTGTGAATGAGTGTCATGTTCATTTGGCTCAACTTAGTATATGATTACTTCCCGTCTGTTTAACCATTTAATCATAAGACATTCTCCACAACTGAACTTAGTTGATACTACCAAAATCTTGAGGTAGACTGTAGAACGGTGGTTTGTTGTGTAAAGTTGCAAGGAGTGTCGTTAGAGTTTCACTTGGCAAAGAAAAATTAAAAACAGAAAAAAAAAAAACTGTGGCAGCAGGGGTATCATGCAAATCAAGGTAAGTGGGTTAGGGTGTTATCAGTGAAAAAAGTTTGTGAACCACTGTTGTAGAACTACTGAATATAATAAATTTTGAGTATATCACTTTCATCGACTCCTAAAAGTGGTGATTTATTGCCTACACAAATTTCATTTTCTAGTTTTCAATATGAAATTGTTAGCAAGAATAACTTTAAATTCAGAAGTTAATAAAAAATTTGACTTTTAATGAAAGTCTTTTTGTTTCTTCACTCAGGCCAAGTGAATAATACTAGCTATTAAAACAATTTATTATTTATTTAATGACTCTGCCAAAAATGTATTCTGATAGGAAAATTATTAAATATGAGAAGGGTCCAAAACAATGGTAACTGCAAGGATAACCTATGACAGTGGTCAGAATGGTCCAAAACATCGATAACAGCAAGGATAGCCAATTGATAACCTACAACAGTGGTCAAAAAGGGTCTAAAACACTAATAACAGCAAGGATAGCCAATTGATAACCTACGACAGTGGTCAGAATGGTCCAAAACACTGATAACAGCAAGGATAGCCAATTGATAACCTAGGACAGTGGTCAAAAAGGGTCCAAAACACTGGTAACAGCAAGAATAGCTATTTGTTGTTTGCCTGTCACTCGTAATTTAGACTAGTTATTACTGATTGTAATTTTGATTGAAGATGTTCAGCAACTCTTCTGGTAGAAGTTCCTACATAAATGAGAAAAGTAAGCAAATATTCTCTCAGGACACAACTTTTGAATATGTAAAAGCCATTTTCTGATCCCCCTGTATCCTTTACATGGATTATTGCTCACATAGCTTTCACTGGGGCACGGACCCCCCCCACACACACACATTGTTTTGCTTTATTTTAATTACCTCCTACTCTCAACATCAGTGGCACCTGAGTTTGTATGTGTAACAATGTCATCTACTATTTAAATCATTATGTTACTGTAAAGTAGAAGTGTCTGCATTTGTGATCTGTTATGTAAAATGGTGTGGACATCCTCCTACATATGTGAAGTAACAGTGCATAGTTGTGTAGCCTGCTATACAAAAACTTTGAAGCATTTTTCTGCTACCAAAAACCAGATGCTTCAAGGTTTTGCTTTACCACAGCAAATAATGGGAAAAAAAAAACATAACATGATTTGGAATGGTCCTCCATGTAATATGTAATTGATACATGTGCAACTTAATGCGCATATGAAGATGTGAATTTGTGTAAAATTTGAATTCCATGCTTCACAAAGACCTTAGGTTTACAAAAGTTTTAAGGTGAAAAAATGAGAGCAGATGGCAAGGCAAGATGAGCCAAGTCATGTACTCAGATACACCTTTCAGACAACCGAGTCTTGTCCTGTTCTGTCCCTGCATGATACTAACCTGCTACAGACCGAAGTCCAATCACATGAGGCATCAAGGGTCTACTTTACATAGATCTACAACACAGCATCTGTTGGTCATCCACTATGTGATGCTATTACTAGTGCCATTTAGGGACAAAAAAGAACAGGACAGTGTTTCATTTGTTTTATGGTTCTTATGCTTCTACTACTACCTTGTCTGCTCCTTTCATCACCATATAGAAGCGTGTACTTCATACAGCTGGGAACTGACGTTCTTCTGGTAACAGCAAAGCATGTGGTGAAGGTGACTAAATAACAATACCGTGGAGTTGTGGGCAGATTACAAGCTGAGGTTAATTTCAAATGTTCATAATGTAGTGCAAAGCAATATATACTATAATAAAATCAGACATAAATACTTCAATCTATTACCACATGAGCAGAACATGAAAGACAGAAGACTTTTGAAACATCATCCTCTGCACTTGAGCTCCATAAGTAGATTGTTGAGTCACTAATATACTTCTACAAGTGTTTCTCTAATAGGCAGATGCCATTCCTTTCATAGTCAACTGAGCATTCACAGTTGTTATTAAATATGCATTTTTTAATCAAATTATTTCAGAATTAAAACTGAAAATACAATAATAATACTAATATATTTAATTTTTTTATTCTGCTGCAAATGCAATATTCTAGGCTTATCTATGTGAATATGGTTCCCTTTTTACTTGCACAAGAGACTTAAAAAATTAAATAAATGACTCAGTTCATTTGAGATTATGAATATACTAAACTTTAAACTGCTATCAACCAATCAGAAAGTTATACCTGACATGTTACAGCCAAAGTATGACATATCTGGGTTTTGCCTGTACGGAACTCTCCAAAGATCTCAGTAATGGAGCCTGTTTCTATTCCACCTAGAACAGAAAAGAATGTATTTCATTCACTTTAGCAGTACTTACGACATCTAAGTATAAACTTAAAGATTTTTGTGTAAAATATCTAATCATTGTAATTAAAAAAAGGTAAGTTCATACAATCCCCACATTCAAGTCATAGCTACAAAATGCCCGAAACTATGCAACTGGATATTTTTATAAGAAGCATGAAATTTCTCACTTTTCACTCATCTGTCCATTGTTTGAGACTTGTTGGCTGTGTGATCTGTTACTCAAATAATCTGTTCAGTTCTTTTTCTGAGTAGCTTATCTAGTTCTTTGGGCTATTTTATCCTGCTCTGAAGCCTATCTTCAACTATATGATCTCTAAGAATTTGTTTTAGGGATATTTGACTGCTGTTATTTGTATGACTTCTAACTTCTTACCAAAGTGTCATTTGTCTGATTCTTTGGGACCCTGCTACTTATATTATTTTTTACCTTTCACCTCAGAATATCTGATGTAGTTCTTCATAGCACAAGGCCTAATCTGTGATTTTAATTTAGACATCAATAACTTTCTTCCATTGAAGACGCCGAGAAGAGCTTAAGATGGATACTGTTGTTTTTTCTCTTCCTCTGGTATATTGATTATAGATTTGATATCTTAAATACATCATGAGTAGCTGTGATCGAATCTTAAATACATCATGGGTAGCTGTGATCGAATCTTAAATACATCATGGGTAGCTGTGATCGAATCTTAAATACATCATGGGTAGCTGTGATCGAAATCTTAAATACATCATGGGTAGCTGTGATCAAATCTTAAATACATCATGGGTAGCTGTGATCAAATCTTAAATGATGATCATAAATATAGCACTGACTATTGTCTATTCAAACCATGTGCTGCTGATCTCCAAAGATATGTTCAATGACTTAGTTTCATTTCAAATTTTACACAGTTACAAGATAGTTTATGGAGGAGGCTTCCATTCATTTAACTGGATTTTTACATAATAAAATACACGTTTATTCTTTAACAAGAAAGATGTTAAAAAAAAGCAAAAAGCATAAAAAAAACCTATTTTGTCAGCATGTGTATAATCAAAAATTCTCATTTCTATAATCTTCAAGTCTTTCTGAAGCTAAGGCCCAAATACAAATGCATCAAAGTATTTTGATGAAAATATATCATTTTCTTTAAATATAAGGGCAAACAAAAAATATAGATGAAATAATAGCTATAAACACAGTAACAAAACTTTTTTGAATAAAAAATGTCTCCTATGTACACAAGTGTTACACAGAATATTATTGTTAGAATTTCAAATTGCATTTCCATTACTCATGTGGTAGTGATAAAACTGCTTCTGTTTTTTACCATTTATCAGATTTGTAAATTTCTGCCTTTTCTCTTGTCAGTGGGTGTTGGTCGACTTCCAAACACCTCTAGTTACTTCTTTTTATACAAATTGTTCAGCAATTGTTTTTTTTTCTGTGAACTTTTTAAAACACAAAGACATTGTAAGAGCAGTACCTCTATTGCTTGTTTGAACAATTTAATTGCAAGATAACAATGCTGCTTTTTATACATTAGTTGTAAATAGTAATTATATAAATAAACATTAATATGTGTATCTGTACCTTAAACATTTCTACATTTCTTGATCAATCAACACCAAACTTGACACAGTGATATAGGATGAGGAAGGTCATTTGGAGGGGGAGGGGGGGGGGTGATCTCCCAAATCTAATTTCCTATTGATATAATTCTTATAAACGAGTTTTTATTTCACCCATTCAACAGGCAGGTACTCAATCTAGTAGACATATAAAAGGCTATGACTTACAGATGGAAATAAAACATTTGATATGTTATTAGAGAAACACTATCTAGAACTAAAGTTCAGGCTTTTTTTTGGGGGGGGACCAAACATCATTAACTGTATGATATCTGATGTTTTACATCTGAGTAACTTAGAGCCTATTTTGATCTGTATATCCGACATCTTACCCCTGAGTCAATTATCTAGCTCTATAAAAACCTGTTGCGATCTGTATTCTGATACTTTACCTTCAAGTGAATTATCTAGCTGTTGTGATCTGTATAATTCCAACATCTTACTTATATAAACAAATATTAACAGCCCTATATCCAAAAGATAAAAACATTTTTGTGATAATGGGTGACATGATCTTGCATGTGGAATCTGTCTAAGGTATTGACTGTTGTGATCTGTATAATCTCTGACATCTTACCTCTGAGTAACTTATCTAGCTGTTGTAACCTGTAAAGTTTCTAAGGTCTTCCTCCATGTAACTTATCTAGCTGTTGTAACCTGTAAAGTTTCTAATGTCTTCCTCCTAGTAACTTATCTGACTGTTGTAACCTGTAAAGTTTCTAATGTCTTCCTACAAGTAACTTATCTAGCTGTTGTAACCTGTAAAGTTTCTAAGGTCTTCCTCCATGTAACTTATCTAGCTGTTGTAACCTGTAAAGTTTCTAATGTCTTCCTCCTAGTAACTTATCTAGCTGTTGTAACCTGTAAAGTTTCTAATGTCTTCCTACAAGTAACTTATCTAGCTGTTGTAACCTGTAAAGTTTCTAAGGTCTTCCTCCATGTAACTTATCTAGCTGTTGTAACCTGTAAAGTTTCTAAGGTCTTCCTCCTAGTAACTTATCTAGCTGTTGTAACCTGTAAAGTTTCTAATGTCTTCCTCCTAGTAACTTATATAGCTGTTGTAACTTACAACAGCTAGATAAGTTACTAGGAGGAAGACATTAGAAACTTTACAGGTTACAACAGCTAGATAAGTTACTAGGAGGAAGACATTAGAAACTTTACGATCTGTACAAACTGTGATGCCTTACCTCCAAGTAATTTATCTAGCTCTTTAGAGCCTGTTGTGATCTGTATAATCTCTGATCTCTTCTGATGAAACTCAGTGGCTGTTGTGAAACCCATAGGCACTAGTTTTGTAGCTTCAGCCTGAAATGTTTTTACATACATTTTAGAATACTATATTTTATAAAAATAAAATAACAGTATATATTTATTCTAACTCATGTTAAGCTTATTTCACTCTCAAGTATTTGATGATGTGACTTTATGAGCCACAAATTCAAGAATAACAGAATAAAAATGATTACAATAGCAATAAGATGGAAAAATGCTGGTCATGTTTTGGTCAAGTAACTTGCATTTTGACTATTTTTGTATTTTAAGGTAGTATATTTTTCATACCTTATTTATACAGAAGTCCTTGGATTCATTTAGAAACATGTGGTTATTTTTGTGTTAAATCAACAATATATATACATGTTAACAATGTTTCAACTACACATTTCATCAAGAACAGTTGCATCCACTTATTGTTCAACTGAAAACGTCCATAATTCAAGAACCATAAACAATACACACAAGTTATAATAACCAACAACATCAAACATGTAGTATTGTTATGGAGTTAAACATGTCCCATGCTGAAAACTTCAGTCTTTATGAATAAACAGTATTGTTCAGTTTTCATTGTTAAAAAAAGTTTACTTTAACAAAAACACACACATATATATATGTACATATAATTATACTATCTGTATTTTAGTGAAGTTGATTTACATGTACTTTCTAAATTTCTCTATAAAACGTTTTGGAAGGGAACCTAAAACTGATAAAGCAATAAACTTAGCATGAAAAACATACCAAAATAAATAGTTTATAATTTTAACACCATTTTCTTAACTGGCTCATTACAGGCTTAAGATTGAATAATACAAACATCTTGTGCTTTAACATTACATTTATTCATGTCTTAAGGTCTAATACAAACATTATTTTTGATATGCTACTTATTATTAATTGTTCAAGCTTACCAATATTTTATCTGCTTTTGCTTCACTAATCCCTTTTATACAAAGCAATTCTTTCTTTGGAGCAAATGCAACAGACTCAACAGTATGAAAACCTTTTTCTTCAAGTTTCTTGATATCCATAGCACTGATTCCATTACCCTTTTAAGAAAGAAGTCATTTATAGAATTATGAAACACACACTTTATTTTTTATTTATATTTTTGACAGTATGAAATTGAATTCCTATAAACGTATATCACTTCAAACTATTTTCTTTCCTTAAAAAATATTTTTTAAATGTGTCGGGTAAAATTGCAATTTAAAAAAATTATTTTAGCAAACTAATATATAAAATTAACCTATACCCTACTATGATACTTTTCACCAACTGTATGTTATGGAAGCTTCATATCTCTGGCTTTGATTAAAACTATTCCATATAATACAATGGTTTATATAAACATGATATATTCATAATAACGGGAAACACCTGATGCATCACAGAAAACTTGTTTACAGGCTTCCAACAAACTGTTGTTTGTCATAAACTAAATATAGAATATAATAAGTAAGAGCTTAATAGTATAAAACAACACACGTAATGTCATTATATGCAAAAAACAATATCCCAGGTCAGTGGTTACAAACCACTGGTTCAAAGGTAGATTTCAGCCAATTCGCAAGATGGTTGAAAATAAGCATTTTAAAATATAGTTACTGAAGTATATTGTTTTAAAATGTAATTGAAAAGTGTTGTAAAAGTTAATATAGTTTAAAACAATTTGTAAAATTTTTGGATAGGAACTGGCTGGTCTTCACTTGAAATAGGTGGTAATTAACATCAAGGTTTTTACAATAGCACAAAATTTTTTCAATAAATGTAAGACTCATGATGAACATGTATATACTTTTAATATTATATTTGTTGAATAAATAATGAGTTACCTCTAATTTCTTCAGTTTCTGTGGACCAAAATCTTCACACTCTTCAAGCTCTTCACTTTGTTCAGCAACTGCCATTGCCATCTTGAAAAACTTGTGATAAAAAGAAAAAATCTCAAATGAATGACAATGTGAAAATGTGTATATATATATATGTATTCCACAACTATCATATGAAAAGAACATAAGAAGCATCATAAATCAACTTACTTACAACAGATACTGCTTTTGAAATAAATTGTCAGCCCTGGTGGCCTCAACTGTAAGAAATCCCAAGAATTTAGAGAATCCTCTATAACAGCGTTTCCCAAACTATGGGTCGCGACCCACTGGTGGGTCGCAAGCGGAATGTTAGTGGGTCGTAAAAAGTTATACTAGAATTACGCATTAGCTTCAATTAAACGCTGTCTGTCGAGATAGTTCAAGACTCAGGCTTTCATTGCCAGGCTGTTGTTGTATCAAGCAGTATGTTGTTTTGACGAGCTTAACGAATCAGGGTTGATCATGCTCTCAATTTAATCAATCGTCATCGTAAAAAGGAAATCAATTTTCACCTATTCATACAGTACTTTAGCTATAGTACCGGTTTTATCAGTCGATTGCAGAATTTTAACTTTTGATTATAGATATCTATAGTTTTTTTATATTTCTAGGTATCCTTTGATTATATGTAGATATAATGCACCCCAGGCTCCTACGCCTATGCTATTTCAATCAAAAGTTAAAATTCTGTAACCAAAGGTTAGATATCTACTTACAAAGGATATCTAGAAATAAAAAAACTATAGATATCAATAATCAAAAGTTATAGCATTTATAAGTTCTGGAAATGTTATTGAAAATACGTGAGTATTTTTAAATGTAATTGAAATACGTGAATATGAATAAATAATATTTTTTATATTCTTTCATATGTTTTTGCCCAGTAAATTTCAGTGGGTCGCCATAAGCTGTGGTCATGAATAGTGTGTTGCGATTCTAAAAAGTCTGGGAACCCCTGCTCTATAACATTACAGACACAGTACAAATAGTAAATGTTCTGGTAAAGCTAAAAAAAAAAACAATTCTTTTTATCACTATCTTATTTTATAGTTGTAACATTAGATAAGCTTTTCCTTTATTTTAAACCTTTGTTCACTGGTTTTACTTAAAACATGGTTGATTTCACTTATAACCTTTATATACCCATGCAAGTATTTTGAACTATATTGATGAAGATTATAACTTGAACACATCCTTAATGTTCATGCAAGTTTAAATAACAGTGATTCTTCGTAGTTAGGTGTAAGATACACAAAATACTGGTTTGTTATTACTTGTGCACTCCAAATTAAAGATCATAAAATAAACTTACTACCTGTTTGAGAAACATGCCTATTATTTAAACAATAAATTAACTCTAGTAACCTAAGAGTGAGAATTATTAGTTTTAACAAGTTAACTATTTCAGTATTAAATATTACAAGTCAAATCTTATATCCATCATAAAGTGCTGTTATTAACAATGTTACAATTACCAGAATGGAACTATATGCTCAACTTCAGCATATTTATTAGACCATACATACAGACTTGTATGCTTATTATTTGAATATACAACATTATAACACAAACAATTACCTTACCACACATGACTTCAGTTTAAAACATCTTTGATTTTTCTCGTAAAATACTGACCAGATTTTGAAAGTGAGAGAAAGCTAATAACCCACAAGCTGCAGCATTGATAAATTGCAATTTAGTTTACTTTTTTTTTTATTTAAGGTTTATTTTGTTTTTTGTTACTAAGCCTTACTATCAGTAATAATATTACCAATATTATGTTTTACTAATACTAGTAATATTATACACTAATACAGAGCATTGAATAAATTGATGTTTTCAAAGTTTTTAACGTATTTGCAACAATAAGCATTATTTTTAAATAAATTAAAATGCGAATATGCTTAATGCTAGTATTAGTAACAATGGTACTTGATAGTACTACTAGTACTCATTAGTAGAACTAGTAGTATTACCTTTCTCAGCTTTCTGACAACTGAGAAGACCTAAAGCTATGTACTTAAATTTAAATAGGATTAAAATGTATTACTATTAGTATTACTAGTAAAAAAGTAGTATTAGTATTGCTCCTATTTGAAAGTTAACTGTTACTAGTTTTAGTTTTAGGTGTAACTTGTTTTACCACTAACTTTGTTTTTACTATAAAATGTACTCTTCTTACCAACGTAAAATCTGATGAACTGTCCACGTATGCTTAAACTTATAATGTTATATATTAAACCCTGTTAATACCTGACATTATACACAAATTATGTCGTTAAAAGAAATACAGGTTTCAACATCATTCCAAATATCCCGCCTTTTTGAATTCTGATTAGTTATAGCTTGTTGTTCCGTTTTCTCTCCTTTCTTTTTATACCTTGAAGACCTGGCGCTATATACTTTACTATGAAACGAAATTCTTCGCATTGTTAAAATGTTTGGTAATAGTACAGGGATCCCTCGATTAATGTGCATTCGATTAATGCGTTTTCGTTTAGTGCGCTTAAATTTTTTTTATAACCAATATTCGATGAGTACGTGCATAATACTCGATTAGTGCGGTAACACACATTTCATTTTAACCATAGTAATTGAAAAGTAAGTTTTAGGCACTGAAATTAA